CACCTAGGTATACGAAGTGGTCCAAACTGTTATTCTAATTGTAAGAAACTGTATTCATAGCAAGTTTGACGTGAGATTTTATTAAGTGCTGTTACTTCGCAGAAGTACGCGTTCCGAAAGTCTCGCAAAGTTGACCATCTGAGGACAAAACTTCAGTCTCGGACGGGACTCGAACCCGTACTTGTGTTTTCCGGGCACAAGTACGGGTTCGAGTCCCGTCCGAAACTGAAGCTTTGTCCATAAATCGCCAACTTTGTGAGATTTTGCATTCATAGCATTTGAAACTTATCGCACCAGCTTTTTTCGTAGTAGTGTTGCAATCTGGGCAAAGGTAGTGTAGGGTGGGCACTTTCACATATGCGCGACCACGTTTCAAATCAGGAATCAAATATTTGGCTACCAGTAAAGCGACTCCGAGGCTCTCCATTCCTCGGACTAGGTTAAGTTATACCGGAGTCATGTGGGAAGATGAAAGCACTGGCTTTTACATCAGCTGGTCACCGCAACTTAGTGAAGTGGGACCTTCATTACGATCCTTCGGAAGTCGAATGCAGGGCGCATCCCAAAATGACATTGGTTCGTTCTGCTGGCGGCTCCTTTTTTTTTACTATTTATTGATGCATGGTCCGCTGTAGTACTGCTTCGGTCGTCCGCACAGTATAAATAAATGCCTCATACTGAAAGCGAAAGAAAAGGTTCTCGGGTTTTAAACTTAGGGCTCTGACTAGTGCTTCCGTTTAATTTGAAAATGCATGCTTATCTTCCGACATAAACTTATTACGCGAACAGGTTTGGTGTTAATTAGTGCTGCATCCAATCTTCCTCACTTTCTTTTTCGTCTCATTTTTTCTCTCATTCAATTCACTGACCTTATTCAATGCTCAACTTTTCTTCAAATGATTTGAGATTGAAGTGACTTCGTTATGTAAATCATTGCGAGTCACCCCATACCATTCGTCCAAAACTTCTTAAGGCATGACGAATAATCGAATTAAATCGCTGAGCGCCCATTGTGGTGATTTTACATGCACTTGCACTTCAATTTGTTTCGTGAACACCCCTAGCTCATCTCCCATCTCTTCTCACTGAACGTTTCATGTGTACCTTTCACAACTTTTCTTCCTTCATTGCATTCCAACTTTAACGGAAGTGCCTTGTAGATAGCCAACGGCAATGCTGATCTACTTGAGTGTTTTTTTTTNTTTTTTTTTCGAAAATCCTAGGTAGGTGGAGTTGTTGAATTGTTAAACTGGTGGAAGTGGCTTTTCATAAGGAGGCTTTTGGATAGAAAATTCGCTAGAGAATAGAAAAGTCAAGGCGAATTTCGTTTGGCCTCAATTTCTCATGAGACCGAGGAAGGGATAACTTCCACACTTTCTTTCACTGGTATTTTGATTTCGTGATTTCCCCATCCTCACTTTGACGAAAGCAGTTCGTTGGCAGTTATCGATGTTCCGATGTCCTGACTTAGCTTACCCTTTTTAGCGATGGAGCTTCGTTTTTAATTACAAAGTAGACTTTTTGAAGTGTTAGGGGAGAGCTAGAGAGTTTCGTCTGCATTAGCGATTGGGGGGATCACCTTCGTGACTTTCCAAACCACACTTTGGCGAAAGCAGTTTGTTTGCAGTTATCGATGTTTCTGTATCCTGACTTGTTCACAAACTGGTATTTTCGCGGTCAGTTTTTCTCAAGGTAAAAAAGTCGTTTTTGTTGGTTCGCTAAATGCTATTATGAGGGAGCGACAGGATCAGGAGAATTGCTGCTGTGGAGATGTTGACTGCTGTCAAGGATTTCACGTATACAACCGATTCACGCATGAATGCTTGCGCCGCCATCAAAGAGCACGTCGCGGGTTGTTCGCGCATGCCCCACTCTGCTAGCCTCTAGCACTTGACAATTCCGCCTTGATTGACCGCTAAAAGCAATAGCGTTATCGGACGACATCACTCAGCTAGTTGTTGCACCAGCCACTTCGGCAACTATGGCAAGGCTTTACAAGCATGGCGTCCACGCTAATTGACTCAAAGGAGGAGTGAACCCGTTCCGAAATTGTTCAATGGCCATGAATTCTGTTTTCATTCGAAGCGTTGCACTTCTTTCTCGCCATGTTCTGAAGTACCTCCCATAATTTTACTATTCGCTCAGCTATTAATCTTTCACCTATCTCTTCACAAGACGGTTCGTCTTTCAACTGGTTACTCGACTGTTTCAAAGAGTGTTGGTGGCCGTAAAATCAATGGGTAGTTGGAGCGAAACTGCAACCGCTTTACGACTTTATTCCCTTATAGAGACTAATCCACACATACTTTTCGTTGTGAGACGTTTGCCCGAATACGTTTTGCCAGCTGTAAACTTTTTGTTAATCTGAGCAATTTCGTACACTGGAGGTTTGGCGTAGCTGGAGAACCGGATAGATAATTGCTGCTGACACTTTCATTTTCCTAGCCAGACTTCTTTGTGCTGCAGCAATGAACTTCCAAAGAATTCTCAGTAGTTTTCTGAATTTGTCTGGGCTTCTGAATTCGGTGTTTGTGGGTCGTTAATGTCTCCAATAACTGCTTCGGAGAATTCGACAATTGAGGTATTCGTGATTTGCCACGGATCCAACAGTATTCATTGGTATTCTCAACTCGACCTTAAGCAGCTTTCCTCTTACGAATTCTTCTTCCTGTACTTGGATATAGTGTTTCCGCGTTGAGTGACAGGAGTCAATTTTCCGTTACTTTTTAGTTTGAAGTAATTTTCAAACCCCCGTCGTTCTTCTCGTGGCTCTTTGTCATGGAAGGTCACGCGCTGGTTCTCGTTTCTCTTTGTCCATTCACATACACTGAATCGGCTCAACTACTTTTTGAAGGTTTCGTTCAAAATCCTTTTGGGATGTAATAAAACTGAGTTTTGCCGGTTTTGTTGCAAATATTCTCCTTGGATTCCTTCGAACTCGGTGACTTCTGTGATCATTTGATAGAAGGTGCTCACATTAGGTTGAGGGCAGACATTCGCCATGATCTTATGAAGGTAGTTTTCTCAAGATTGCTGTGCTGATATTGTCGCTATGTTCTTAGAATCTGGATAACCTTGTAAAATCCAATTCCTGTTTGAATTTTCGGAACATTTGAAAGCATATTGGGCGCTTTGCGAGGTCCAGCCTCTATTCATAATAACAATTTTGCACCTATAATCGAGTCAGCACCACCAACGCTGTCACAATGGTAGGAAACCAGTTTGATCAGGGTTGGGCTCGACGTGTTCCTACTGCAAGATTCGTGATTTTGGAGGGAGCTCTGAAGTACTGGTAGCCAATTAGACACTAGGCAGTGAGAAGTGAAGCGAGCCCATTAACTTTTCATTGTTATTCATCTTACTCTTCGACGGTACTAACGTCCAGCATCTCATTAACACCGGTCTTTATAATGACACCCACAAATGAGCGGAATAAATGCGCATATGAATTATATGCAAGGAATATGAGGACAGAATCAGGATGCCGAGATTAGTGCACAGGCCACAAGGTACCTCGAGTCACTCTCGGAGGCGTGGTTGGGAGTGAAGTCGCATTTATAATAGCATAGCTAAAACTCAACCCACGGGTGGAGAAAAGCGGAAGGGGAACTGTTGCTGTGCTTACTAAGTCATGGTGTCCGTGAAACGTGATAAGGATTTTCCCAAAATCTCATAGCGGCAAATGTGCCCTTCAGACCAGGTATTTAATGAAGATCGGCTCCCTTTGTTCTTCAAGTGTCAGTCATCGGCAAAGCATCGCCATGTGGAAGCAAAAATAATCAAAGATCGCGATTTCTCTTTGACTTTAATTTCGGCATGGTTGTTTGATATTATTATTTTCTCTAACCAGCGAGGTTTCTAAGATTTCGTTGCTTCCGAAAGTCGCCTGTGGCGACAACGGATCTTGTCCATTTCAGCGGTGGAACCTTGACCTCTGAAGTAGACGATTGCGCCCAGTCCTTATTTCTTCGCTTTGATGAATAGCCACTTGAAGCCTCGTACGGCAAAAGAAAACAATAGCCAAAGAGTTACCGCAAAAGTTTCGCTCAGAAGGAACCGTGTATTCCAAATACGGGAAAACGATCCCTACCCTTATTAAATGGTCTAGCTGCTAATGATTGCATTTGAGACCTATGTTGGGGATGCTGACACCTCAGAAACGGCATGGAGGGTAACCCTATTGAATGAAAATGGCCAGAATGATGTTATATGTACTCTTGAAATGTTCGCGAGAAGGCAGCTTTAATGAGTAATTACCCTCGTTTCATGTTCACTGATGACACCCAAATCCCCATCACCTTACACTTTCGACAGTCGTCTTGGACGATATTCTAGTGTCAATGCGCAGAGAGCAGCTTAAAGTCCAATATGTAAGACACCTCACTGTTCAAGCTTTACGCGATCTCGGAATTAAAAAATGCATTGAAATTAACGCCTTCCTCGTTTTCTATTTATTATTGTTCCCTGTTCACCTACTTGTCAAATGTTTTGTGAAATTTCAATAATTTTAACAAAGCATCCGATAGGTTTCAGTTGAAGCGGTAGTCGTTGTAGTTAACAGAACTATTGCTCGTTTATTAATTGGTTAGAGAACCGGCGGCAGAACGAGGTCTAGTTCCCGAATTAGTTTTCCCGTAGCTCTCGAGCTTACCATAATTAGCTAGATGGTCTCACTCGAGCACCTGCATTCACCATTCAATGTCCATGGCATACCAGCTTTGAACTAGTAAACAGACACACGATATTCTTAGGGATACTGGTAGTCGGGTGAGTCCAGACAACTGCATCAGTGCACTTCAACCTTTTCCACTAGCCCAAAGGTTTCAAAATGAAATAAAATCAAATCAAATCCGAGTTAAGAAATGTGGAAGGTTCAATCTGGAGACAAGAAAATAATTCCTTTTCGAAAATTGCTTTTCTAATCCGTTTTGAAGACTCCCACCCCTTTTTTATGTGCACATTTAGTATGTGGTCCGAAGGTGTGGAGCCGTATCAGTTTAATGGCAGGCACTGCCCCCATGTTCCTGGTGTCCATAATGCACGAAATTCCTCGCAAGGTGCGGGAGCGAGTCGATTTCAAGGCTGGCACTGCCATCACCAATCTTTCGGAAAGTGATCCTCTGAATATGTTGCTCTCTACAAACATAACCGCAGGCTTTTAGCCTGGCTCGCTAATGTCAGCGCAGAGCAATTTCTGCCAGGAGGCTCTTAACCAAGTAACGCTTCATACAATTGTTTTGCAAACCGTAGCGGCAAATCGCAAGAAATGGTAAAGCCTAGGTTTGTTCAACGAGATGTTGCATTCCTTTTTGAAAAGTCGCTCAGGAACAGGTGAACGATAATATAGGGGCGAAACAAATCGGTTTTAGGATGTTTCCTTGAAACAGTTTCCTTCCTAGTTGGTTCCTTGGATATATAGATGTCGTCGCGTTTTTTGAAAACGATACTCTGTGTAATGCTTTAATGATGTTCCACCTTAGAGGCTTCCCAAAATTTTCTTGTTAATTTGATTTCCTATAAGGTGCCGGACGCAACATTGCCTTTGTATATTTATGGAAACGCTACTCATTATCTAAGACTACTAACTTAACGAATCATAGTACACTGACACTTCCCAACCGACTCCATAATCATGGTTCATTGAGAAAATCACGTCAACTGAATTGGTGCGATGAGCTGAAGATTAACCCCATTCATTATTGTTGTTGTTGAATTCCGTGTAGCCGCTGTGTTAGCCTAATTTACTTATTACCGTTTGGCCTTCCGCTTGTTCACACGAATTCGAAGATGTAGTCAGACCCTGGTGTACCTAAATAAACACTGACCGGCATTGTTTCCGTGATTCATTTTCATGTTGATCATTTTAGGTGTAGTCTTTGCACGGCCGGATGGGATCAGCTGGAGATGGGCCAGTTTCGACTGCATTCGTCTTCCTTTGGAACAGACGATTTCATGTTAATTATGAAATTTCTACTGGACAGAGTCGTACCATCGTTTCAAAGAAATCAGTGAGTTTGTTATATTTTTCTCATTTCGAATAATGCTTTGGGTTTTCCCAAACACCCTTCTGTTTTGCTATACCCTTTTTGTGAGACGGTTTGTGTTCTCTTGCGTTGAAATAGAATTGTACAGACACAACGATGACGAGTGGCTCATGGACACCATTGAGACACTGTACGCAGGACGAATGCGGGAGGATAGCGCGAACAAGAGCGAGGTCGAGAGGAATTTGGACATTATGGAGGTATTCGTTTGAAGGAAATCGTATTTGACTGCTAATTACATTATTTATGTAAAATTCTAATCACACTTATGCTAAATTATGGGCCAGACTTTCGACCTTGATCGATACTCGAACCCGAAAGGTACTGTAATGGGGATAATCACAGGGCTTTTGGGGAACTGTCTCATCAAGAGCTGGTTTAGCTTCTCATATCGACACTGAGTCCGTTCGCTGAGAGTTTAAGCTGAGCTTCGGGGTTCATACGCATGGAAACTGCAGCCTCTACAATTAAAAACGAAAGAAAGTAGTTCAACATTCTGATATGATACACTCAAGTAAAATCCCGAATTGATAACGATTTTTCATCTTTTTTCATTCACAACTCCTATTTAGAAATGGCGTCGCGGACTGGCACATGTTGCCAACTACTGCATTGAAAATCGCATGAAAACCCCCCTAGGAAAACCAATGGACACTTTCAACAAACTTGGAGGTGAAATCTACTGCAATTATTATTTTGCTGAGATTTACCGATAATTGGCATTTTAGGGGAACTTCTTCGACTGGCAAAAGAAGCCATCTCGGGAACACCAACCCCAAGTACCAGCAGCAAAGCTCCGAATCATAGCAGAGTTGCCGCAAGAGATAAGGGAGCCAAAGACGATGAAGAAGTTGTGGATGTTAATGATCCGAGGTTTGCTAATTAACTGAAAGCTTTTCATTTTATTATTATTTTAATATTCTGCCTGAGATCCTAAGGCGATACCATTGAAACATTAAAATGTAAAGAACAAGTGAAAAGCATCCATATGTTCAGGTCAATTACACCGGCAGAAGAATGGTGGCGGGTACGGTGCCTTCTTGAGTTCGTTGAGGTACGCTGTTGTTTTATTACACAATTCGTTAATATTATTTTAATAAATAACATTAAACTAATAATATTACCTTGATTTAAATAATGAATTGAAGAGTCGTCCAGTATTATTTCAGATCTTCGAGAAACTCATGTATTATGTGAACAGCGGAACCATGTTCCCGATATGTAACGTTTCCGTTGTGAGTATTCAGAAACAGTTTTTCTTCTACATCACCCGTACTCCGTCGGTTGTCGGCTGTCAAGAGCGGCCAATTGCAACTAATTAATTTTTGAGAAACTAAAAAGATTGTTTGGGAGACTGGAACTAGAAACTGTGGGTTGGACGCCAGTCATACTATGGGAAGGCAGTTCATCAACCCTCCTAAGGGAACTCATTAATGAATAAAGATGCAATTATAACTATGAGGGCGGGGTGGTGTGCTGCGAAGTGAAGCACTAACACACCTGCATTGTCCAGGGGTCGAAGTGGGAATCGATACTCTCTTAGGCCGGCTAAGGCTTACATTACCTCCGTGGTCGATTAATTGGTACCAGCGTCTCGTCTGACTTGTATTTGAGCTGTCCACCACAAATCGTTATATAGGCCATAACGTACGTATTCAAAACGTCACTGATTTCAGCTATCGCGACAATTTTTTACAACCAATTCAGTCAGCTGCCAAGAGTGGCTGTCACGGACCTATCCATTTGCAATGATCGTCGCTTATCATAATGGGTATTACGCCCAAGTAAGTGTGTTTACTGAGTGGTGTTGAAAAGATTCTTTGCTTATTGGCAATATTGGTGATATTTAAGGTGATACGCTTCGGCACATCTGCACTAGCGGATCTTGAAAAGAAACAAATGAAAGCAGGTAAGGTGTGCGGTCTGGAGTCCTTCTTTGACAACGCTTTTATGAGTGTATGATTAACAACTTATGAGGACACTATGCAAAGTTTTCTTTCTATTTTTGTTTGACACCTCATTCACAACACTTGTGAAACATCTAAGCCTGTTTTCGTTTGGCCAGCTCTTGAAAAGGCTAACGCGGTTGGTTTTAGGTGAAACACCCTCCTCGGTCTCCAGCCAGTCCATGGCAATTTTGTGCTGGATGGCACGAGCTATGGCTGAGCTTGGAATGGAACAGGCTGTTCACGGGTTGTCAGCTTGGACTAGTCGCGTTTATCACACTGAGATGCCATTCTTAGCTGCAATCGCCGAGATCGCTGCAGCAAGGTCAGATGTTGTGTTAACTGTCTGAAGTAAATGTCTTCTAAATACATATCTCTAAGGCAGGTGGCAGCCTAATCCTCCAATTTCTTCTCTTCAGATATGAACGATCTTTGGTTCTGCTTCGAAAGTGTATCGAAGACGAAAGTCTGCCAGAGACATTCCGAGGAATGCTGAGAGATATTGTGAGTCTAATGCAAGATCTACAACAATTTTCATTTATCCACCCTGTTTGTTTTCAGCGCGTTGACGTTCTATCTCGTTTACGTCATCCGGTTTTCTTGGATTCCTTGAGTTGCCCTGCTGAATTTTCGCTGTGGACTGAAGCTGAGAAATCGGAAGGTCAAGTACCTACAGGAATGGACGCGGAAACATTCACCAGGTCTCGCAAGTTTGAGCAAAAAAGTTGCTAACTCCTAGAGAAAAACCAATAAATATTTCTTTTGTAGACTCAAACAGTTATCCATGTATGGGAAAGTGGAAGCTGCCGAACCATCGCCCGGAGTTTCGTGGAACCTCGTTGATGCAACTCATCGTCTAGAATCTAAACTGCTACAGACATTGCGGAGGTGTGGTTGAATGATGAGTTCTCCCGATACACCGTTCGAAGCGTTCCCTCTTAATCTTAGGGCCGAGGTAGCGAGCATGCGGGAGAATGTCGCAAACACGGCTCGTTTGGTGTTGATGACTGATGGAGGACAGCGCTTGCATGGCAGATTGGCAGCTCTGAATCACATAGCTGGTTCTGTTCTGCGTAAGATGGGCAGAAAGGGACAGATTGACTCCGAACTGAATGCGGTTTGTTGAAGATGATGCTATTCTGCGCCTACCTCCCCTTACCTATTATTTTTTAGGCAGTGCTGTCAGATTTAGCGGCTTCGTTCCTCGTAGAGAATGGAGAAACTTACGACGCTGGTGAACGTCTTCGACTAGGCAGACAATTGGCGTTGTGGGCGGAAAGGCTGGGTTGTAAGTGTTCCCAAATTTGCTTGACTGTTTCGATGCTATTATAGAGTTTTTTTTTTGTCTCATGTGCTCATTTCAGGCTCAAGCCCAGCGCACCTACACTTGCCATTGGCTAAACTGG